CATCATTCGAGGCAGCTCAGGGTCAAGTTTTTATTCTGTCGAGGAAGTTTTTTGGGTTGTAGCAGCAAATGACGGAGCTCTTTGGAACAAAAAGGGAAATAATGTGCCGCAGAAGAGATTTGTTCTGTAGATTTGAACCTTTGTTTTACTCGGTTTTGGAGCCTAAACGTCACTAAACAGTCAGAAAAACAGAAAAAAAGTCAAAGAGTGAGGGTTCTGTTCTCCTGCTGGTTCTGTATCGACACTAGTTTTTCGTATTTGTCTTTAAATCGGTGTGTTCGCGTCCAATCTGTTGCTGTTCAGTGAAACTTTGCAGCACTTTACTTCAACGTCTGTTCTTTTAAATGCACTTTCTGATTAAACGCGACTCGACCTCAGTCTGACGGATGAACAGGCTGCAAAAACAACCGTTTGTTCACGTTGAAGATCCTGCATTTCGCTCCTTTGAACCAGGACAAGCTGATTGATAATCATCATTTATAGACGTGAGGCAGCGTTTCATAGACAAACGCGTCTCAGTTTGGAGACAAATTGCAGCGATTTACCAAAATAAAGCTCCAGAGCGTCGTGGATTTTCTTTTCATTCGGCTCCAGAAGCTTCTGTCGACTCCAAAATATTTCAAAACTATCGTTTATTTTAAAGGTAGAAAAGCTCCTCCAGGCTTCTCGTTTTCATGTCCCGGTACGTGTGATAGATTTCGTCTCGGATGCGAAGTGAAGCACAGAACTCGCTCAGGAACGAGGACGACCTCCGGTATCGATCCTCCCGCGTTAATTCAGATATTTCCAACAATTAGTTTGGCGATCCTCGGAGGAATGAGGCCAAATTACAGGAAGGAGCTGCGATCCAAACGGTCCGGCAGCTTTCTCTTTTTGAAATATTGCTCACGAGCTGCCAAGAAAACTCGCTGAAGGTTAGTTTAAAGTGTTCGCACGACTTTTCTGCTGGCAGCGGCTAATTAGCCCGCAGCGCCTCCATCCGTCTTCAGAGCGCTGCCGCATCGTTAATAAGGCAGAGACGAGAGACGCTCTCACATCTGGAGTCACGTCTGCAGCCGAATCCAGATGCACGAAGCTGTCAGAGTCCGGTTCTGGTGTCTGGGAGATATCGGTGGTGAAGAAGTAAAACAACAAAATAAAAAATTTAAATCTAAAAAAATTAAAAATCTCAGACGGTGTTGAGATGCAACAAGAAAAACTTCCCATGAACATAAAAATTTTCTTTAAAAATCTTTGAATTATTACTTTTTAATTTCTCAGAAGAATTCTTCCATTTGTGTTGTTTCTTTAATGCAGCGAGTGTCAGAAGTTCAATTAATTTATGTAATTAATCTAATTATTATTTAAACAGACTTAGATAAACTTTAGTGATCCACAAGTGGAATTGTTTTATCACAGTAGCAAGCAAACAAAATAAATGATTATATAAGAATATTTTAAAAAGCGAGCAGGAAAACACAGCATACAAGACAACAATGTCTGTTTTGTTTTTTGTTTTTTTTCAATTAAACTTTGAAATTAATTTCAAATACTCTTTTTGAAAGATAAAGATGTTTTTTTGTTTTTTTTTAATCTGTCATTTTAAGTACATTTATTTTTTCCTTTTATATTTTATATGTTCTTCATATATATATTATTGATGATTTTGCATTATTTAATATTTTATATATTTTTCAGAATTTTTTTAAACACACAAAAACATTAAAGTTACAGAAAAATATTTGACATTTCTGATGTGAACCAGCAAACAAAACAAGATCAATGAAATGCACAAGATTTTTATTTAAATTTACGTATAAAAAAAAACTCATATCTGATGTTTTTTAATTTCTTAGAAAAAAACTTTTTTTTGAAATTCTAATCAGAATTATTTGATTATTAGAGGTAATTTTACATTTTTCCAAAGATAAATCCAATCATCTAATAGGTGGAAATGCGTTTAACATTAAATGTGTGTCAGAGTTGCTAAACTGAAATATTAAATTATGTCCAAATAATTCATTATACTTCATGTAATCTAAAATTAACTGTTTATTTTTTGTCATATAACTGATTCTTATTATTCAAAGATGAACAGACTTTTTTATTTTACCATCAAAGATCCGTCAGATGTACAATATTTATATTAAACTTGATATATTTATTTTTGTAGATTTTAAAAGCAGATTCTTGCAATTTAAAACCTTTTTTTTATTATTGTTGTTACAGATTTCTTGACATCAAATTATGTAATAAAACCTAATTAATGATGGAACTTTTTTATGGTATTCTAACATTATTCAATCGTATTTACAGAAAATGTGATTTTTGAACGTGTAAATATCATTTATTCAACATTAAAAAGCCAAACGATGCACATTATGTGAAACGAAGGCCAGAAACTGTTTTTTTAATTATGAAAATTCCTGTTTTCTTTATTGTAAAGTGTTTTTTTTGTGCCCCAGCTGATAGAATTTCTTTTTTTTCCTTTACAGTGCACATTATTCAAAAGACTTTAATCGTCACAACAAACGAGCTGTCCGTGTCGTGAGCTTCGTCCAAACCTGAGCAGCGATTATTTACAGAACACACTCATCGCTCGCTGCTATTCAAACACATAATAAACGTACAAAGAACGCGGCAGCGAGAGTACGGACAGAAAAACAGTGTGAAAAATGCAGTGTTTACGGTGCAGAAGGTCGAGATCTCTGCACACGTACGTGAATATACAAAGAACGGTGCAGAAGGAAACCCTGTGAGAAGCTATGTGCAGGATTTATGGTGCAAAAGGTCGAGGAGCAGAAACACTCGTATTAATATGCATCACCTCGGGTTAGAAAACAGATTTATTGGGTAGATTTGTGACTTTCTAATCACTGGAAGTCTTTTCAGTAACATGTGGCCTCAAAAAAAAACATATTTTCATTTTAATTATTTGTATTATGATGTCGTTGCTCCTTTAAAAAGCAACAAAACGAACTCGGCGTACGAAACGAGAACGGCTCTGATGCAGCTCCACCTGCTTTGTGAGACACGATGTCGGATCTGAAGCGGTTGAATAATTCATGACGTTATCGCTGCTGAGCCTCGTTCTCGCTTTGGAGACGGAAACATGGCCGCCGCCGCCGCCGTTTGGTGCTGCAGGTGTTTGATAAACGAACTACAAACAGCTGGAAGCAGCAAACGAAACTGGAGCTCCGGTGAAACCAAACCTGTGTTAAAACCACCTAAAGCCTGATGTTGTGGATTCAGTTGGACTTGGATGTGAGGCTCTTGTTCGTGTTCCTCGAGCCGTTCCTCTGCAAGTTTTGTGGTGTTGCGTGGGTTCATTATTCTGTTGGGAGAGATTACCACAACCACAGTAGTGTCTGCAGCGAAGGCATGAACTTCAGCCCGATCCTTTGATTTACAAAAACAGAGTGGCAACAATCGATAGCGGTGCACAGCGGACAATTAGTTTCTGCTAATTTTGCTGTTTTTATCAAAAGACACTTGATCTGAGCTGCATAAAGTGGCTCTGTTACATATGTCACTGTAATACAGGAACTATGATTGTTCACACTATGAACTGTAGTCTGAGTGACGCCTCCTCTGGTCTCTACAATATTAAACAGTGAGAGGCTCCTCCTGGTGGAACAACCAGGTACTACAGCTGGTCTACGACACATTTACTGACTTGCCCGACCTTCTTTTTTAGTGACCTGCTCTGACCAACATGACAAAAACAAGACACAAAACACCAGAAAGGAGACAAAACTTTCCCAAAAAGACAAGAGACACAAAATAAAACGAGACAAGATATGAAACAAATGAGACTCAAACGCAAAAGTGAGACACGAAAAAACGAAAACGCAGTAGAAATGACAAAAATAAGACAAAAAAACACAAGTGAAACACAAAATGACTAAAAAACATTATAAAACAACACAAATGAGAAAAAAAATCACATAACCACACTCCACCTGGTGGAACAACCAGGTACTACAGCTGATCTACGATACATTTACTGACATCATGACCTTTTTCCCCCCCTTCTTTGCTTAATATATTATATATAATATAGTAACAGCATTTACACAATTAATCGTTATTTAAGAACAGCCCTAGTTGAGATATTTCCCAGTTAATACCTTTAATTATTGCTCCCCAGGCAGTTTAATCACCATGAACATCGGCCCGACGTAGTTGTCCACAACTATTTATGCGTTGAGTCATTGTCTGTCATGGAAGTTTCACCACCATTACTACCTTGGATTATTCCTCCCTAAGCAGTTTTACAACCATTAACGCTTTGAGTTGCTCGCCGTGTTGCTCTTTTGAAACCGAACAAACAAGTGAGTGGTGGAGGGAGTGGTTTAAACTCGCTATTGATCCTACAAACATGTTAGGAAAACGTTTACTGAGGTACCAGATCAGGTTGACTTCTATACAGTCAGGCTTCGTTTTGCAACCAGCTGAGTCGCCCCCTGCTGGCTGATAGAAAGGACGCAGCTTTAAGGCACTTGAGCATTGGATTTTAAGATGTTTTTAGCCTAGCTTAACAACAAGACTAATCCAGCCTGACCGCTTTAAAGCTAGCTCTCTTGGTATCATTTTGCCTCCAGCCTTAATCCAAACGTGACTCCTACCCGATGAGGCCGATGTCAGTCTTTTCCAAATTAATACATTTGAGCTATTCCTTTAATAAAACCTAAATGTAGTCGCTGCTATCCTGCAAAAACAAACACAAAATAAATCTGGGAAAGGTTTTTATTGAGCTCCCCCACAAGAGACAAAACAAAATTACGCCACATATGAGTCGCGTTCTCGTCCTCGCTGCCAAACTCCGACATTACGTTGAGTGATTTCTTTAATAAGTCTGTAAATCTGATGAGCGTGAAAGGTGTCCGCTTGTCTTTATGTTCTCTCTGAATGTGTTCTGCTAACGTTAGCGCCTGGTACACCTGTTATCTGTGTATAAACGGGGACGCATTAGATCACTTTCTCATTTTTATATTGTGGTTTGTTTTTTTTCCCGACAGCTAAAGAACAGTCTGAGGGAAGACCTGTGTTTGGACCAGGGGCCCGACACCGACAACGTCCCCATCATGTACCTTTGCCACGGCATGACGCCTCAGGTCAGTGGGTTTTCATTCTGTTCTCTCTTGTTGCGTCGCTTCAAACCCTGACGAACACTGATGGCGCAGAGATCTGAGGGTGGAAGATAATTGGACTCCTTCGCCGTCTTTGTTGTTCTAAATGAGGGGTTTAGAGAAAGCAACCGTTCCGCAAAGTTGCTTGGTGTGGCAGCAGAGATGGCCGACTGATATCTCCTCATTGTCTCCACAACAAAGAGGCTTTGTGAGGATGCACTCAGCGTGCCGTCTAATTACTGAACCTGCATTTGCACAAATATTTTGATCACCATTATTAAAGCTGCGTGAGTTGTCTTTTCTTTTTTTTTGCTGCTGTTAATCATTGTTGCCTCTAAGGGGGCAGAAAACAAATCAAAAACACCACATTGACATATTATAGCCTTGCGCCTCTTAAGCTGGTAAATGCTTGATTGTGTTTGTTGTTTATTATCGGTTGTTTGGTTCTCGTAGTTTGTCTGTTTTTTTGCTGCCCGGTGCTAAAAAACAATGTTGAGACGAATGTTGAGCTAAAGGATGCTAAAACTGTTTAGTTAGCAGTATTGGCCAAGCTACTAGAAAAGTGTAGTGAGCTAAACTAGCAGTTAGCCTAAATGTAGCGTCGCTACACTGAAGCTAGGCCCGGCACGCTAAGTCACACCCACATGGCGTTTATTTTACATTTCATTTTATTCATTCAGTCCTGAGATCTCTCCTTATGCAGGTTCACCGCCACCATTTCTACATTCGTCATTACTCCCCAGGCAGTTTCACAACCATGTACGAGATAAGACATGCCAGGAAGTTCTACCACCATCAATCCCACGAGTTGTTACTCCCCAGGCAGTTTTACCACAAGTTACGTCTTAAGTCAATACTTTTCTGACTATTTTACCACCATTTACACCTCGAGTTGTTACTCCCAGGCAGTTTCGGAACCATTTACAATTTAAGGCATACCTACCCAGGCAGTTTTACAATATTTCAAACCTTGAGTTATTACTCTCGAGGCAGTTTCACCACAAGTTAGGTCATGAGTCAACACTTTTCAGACTGTTGTGCCACCATTTACACCCTGAGATGTCACTTCTGAGACAGTTTCACAACCATTTACAAGTTGAGACATGCCTACCCAGGCAATTTTACCACAAGTTACGTCTTGAGTCACCTTTCAGACTGTTCACAAGTTGAGGCTCACCCACCCAGGCAGTTTCATTACCCTTAATCCGTTGAGTTGTTACTCCCCAGACAGTTTCACAACCATTTACAAGTCTAGGCATGCCTACCTGGGAAGTTTTACCACCATTAATGTCTTGAGTTCTTACTCCTCGGGCAGTTTTGCAACATTCCCCCTTGAGTTTTTGCTCCCTTGGCAGTTTAACCACAATCAATACCCTAGTCACCCCTTCCAAGCAAACTCCACACCCATTACTGCATTGACTTGTTCCTCCTTAGGCAGTTTGACCACTGTTGTCACTTTGAGTCATGTGAGTCTTGGGTTGCTAATGGGCTATGGACCACATGAATTGTGGTTGAAAGTAAATACCTAGTACTCCCCACCAGTTAGGACTGAGATAACCTCTTGGAGATAGGATAAGAAGTGGCTCTGGGACCCCCCTCATGCAGTTTTCCAGCAGTCTACACTCGAGACATCCCTCCCCAGGCAGTTTTACAACCCTCCATGTCTTGACTTATTGCTTTCTAGGCAGTTCCACCACTTGTAATGCCTCGAGTCATTCCTCACCAGGCATTTTAACATCAAGTTGAGTCATCCTTCCCTCGGCAGAGTCACCACGATAGCATCTTGAGTCATGTGACTCTTGGGTTGCTAACAGGTGAATTGTGGCTGGAAACAAATGCGTGGCACTCCCCACCAGTCAGTTGAGGTAACCTCTTGGATAACAAGTGAAATGTCTTTAAGAAGTCTAATAACACCTCGGGCAGTTTCAGCACCATTTACACCTAGACTTATGTGATCTCTTAGTTAGCTGTTGACTAGCTGCTGCGCTAAAGTTCGGCGCCACAATCACATGGAAGTACTTCTGTCTACATTTATTCCTGTGCATGGCGGCGGCATCATCATCTAATCCTTAGTTTTTGCTGACGATTCGACTGTTTTTTGCATTATACATATTTATTAGAGCCATTATTTGGTTAAAAATTATTGATTAGTGCAGTTTTAAACATTTTAAACTCAGCGGACTGGTTTGTTTTATTTAGTTAGAATCGATGAAGTCGAACAGAACTACAAACCTACCGCATACGGAGGGGCATCTTTAATTTGCCACACTGAGTACAGTTGGCTAATTAGAGCACACAGCTATAAACCGAATGCTAGCAGTAATGCTAACATAACAGCGTGCTATAATAAGGCAGCTCTGACGAGTGTTGTTCCAGTTGTGCATTAAAACTTTTTTCAGCCTCCTGCAGCTGAGATGTGCGAGGCGTTCTGCCCGAGTCGCCCAGGCCGATCAGCAGCTCTATCAGCCGGCTGCAGATTTAATGTCGTTTCATTGTGAGCGGCAGTAAAGGCTGCACTTATGGCCTCTTAATGGGGACTGGAGGAAAACAATTTAAAGACTAAGGGAGTGTGACTGTGTGTTTCCAGCAGCCGCTCGCTTTGAAACGCTCCGCAGCTCTGACGAAATTAAAAATTCATATTTAACTGTCAGCGCTACATAAAGGGGCCGGCGTTATCAGAGCGGCTCCTCGGCGCTCCGGAGAGCTTTCCGAGGCCTCCGTTGTCAGCAGAGTTAATGGCTTTGACCGTCGCCGGCATCCACCGCGGTTCTGGGTCACGCTCAAACGGCTGCGTCCGCGTTTTCCTCCTGCTTCGGTGTGTTCTCCCTCCAGGAGCCGATAAAGACGTCCGGTTGTGTCGGGGCGTCTTTGTCCGACTCTCCGTCTCCGTTTATTTATTCAACAGCAGTAATGGAGATGGACGCGACCGCGGCGGACGGTCTCCGGCTTCGTCACGCCGCGGTCGCTTAAATCGGACGGAAACAGACGCTCGAGGAAAAGTTTACACAACGTGGATTTGGTTCCGACAAACAGGAAGTCAACATGTTCAACAACCGCAATAAGAAAATAAAATGAAATAAAAGCAACAGTGTCTGAGTTCAGACGACTTCAACCAACAAACTACGTCAGATTCATGGAACTTCCTCCAAACTCACGTTTATTTTTATTCCAACTTATTCAGTGAATCAGTGATTAAATGAGGTTTTAGTTCATTAACATGAAGTTTTCAGGTGTTGTGTGTCTGATGTGTTTCTATGTTGATGACTGAAGTTGTTCCGACTGTTTCCTCGATATTTAAATAGATTAATTACGATAATTGTTTATGGAGTCTGTCAGTTGTTTAGCTGTAGTTCCTCGTTTTTGTCATTCTGTGTTTCATTCATGTTGTTTAATGTCTCTTTGGACAGTTTTTGTTTTTGTTTTGTTGTTTTTTCTCTCACGTTTGGTTTGTTTCCATTTTGTTCTTGTTTTTGCCATTTTGTGCTTTGTTGTTGTCTGTTTGTCTCTTTTTGTAATCTTGTCTTGTTTGTGTCATTTTTTTTTGTCATTTTGTGTCTCGTTCATGTTGTTCACGTCTCTTTTGACAGTTTTTGTTGTTTTTTTTCGCATTTTTGCTGTTTTCTGTCTCATTTTGTGTTTTTTTTTATCATGGTTTTGTTCTTTGTTCATGTTTTTGCTGTTTTCTGTCGTTTTTTGTCTTTTTGTGTCTTGTTTATGTTGTTTAATTTCTCTTTTGACAGTTTTTGTTTTCTTTTTTTTCCGTTTTTGTTGTTTTCTGTCTCGTATTTGTCATTTTGTGTCCTTTTTGTGTCTTGTTTGTGTTGTTTTTCTTGCTTTTGTTGTTTTGTGTGTCGTTTTTGTCATTTTTTGTCTCATTTTTTTGTGTCTCACGTCTGGTTTGTGTTCATTTTATTCTAGTTTTTGTCATTTTGTGCTTTGTTTTTGTCTTTTTTTCTGTAATTTTGTGTCTTTTTTATCTCCAGTCTTTGTTGTTTCATGTGTCTTTGGCACAGTTTTGTCTCCTTCCTGTCACTTTGTGTTATTTTTGTAGTTTTGTTTCTTGTTTGTGTCGCTTTGAATCTCTTTTGTGTTGTTTTTTTCTTGCTTTGACTTTTGTGCGTCTCGTTTTTTGTTGTCTGATCTCTGGTTTGTGTCTTTTTTTTGCTTGCTTTTGCTGTTTTGTGTCTCGTTGTTGTGATTTTGTCTTTTTTAATCTCTAGTTTATGTTTTTTCTCGTCTCTTTGGGACAGGTTTCTTTAATCTTTTCTCATTTTGTGTTACATTTCTGCTGTTTTGTGTCTCGTTTTTGTCATTTTGTGTCTAATTAAGTTGCTGCAGTTAGATGTTATTTGGTAGCTTTCGGCTTCTTTGTGCTTTTGTTCATGTAACAACAAAACTAGTTGTTAGATTTCGATCTGCAGCTGAGAATTTTAAACCATTTTTAAATGTTGAAAACAAACAACAATGCCTCTATTAAAGCAACACAACAGAATAATGTTTGATCCTCTAAAGGCTGCTGATCAGAATTAGTCCTCTGATTTGCTTGTTTCAGTGCCGGCTGCAGAATGCTTCACCTGAACGATGTTGTGCTGAAATCGGCTGTTTGCTGGAGAGAAAACTCACATTTCCAGAGCCGAGCGGAGCCACTTAGCGCCTCTGAACTCACCTTTAGTTTATTTCAGGAGCAAATGAAACGATCATTTGCTCGCTGCAAATTTGCGGAGGAATTTCCCTCTTTCCCCGGAAGACGGACGACTCGCAGCGAGGCGCGATTTAGCCGCGGCGTAGCTCGTGTGCAGATAACCGGACGTTTAGGGGCTTTGCAGGGATGAGTGCAGATAGCAGCAGAATACATGACACAGAATCAGAACCAGCCAGAGGAACTGATCACTTCACAGACTCGCAGGTTCGCTGGACGTCCACGTGAAATGGAGTCGTTATCGGCGCTGTAGCTGCCGTGTAGCGCCGGATTACAGCGCGTTAGC